AGGCCAACTTGACATCTTGATCTGCTAAGACCATTGCCACGGGGCTCCCCCAAGGATATGGGTCAAGCAGGCAGAGATCCAGGACGATCTCATATGTCTTGCCTATTGCTGTCTCCATATACTAAAGAAAGACACATGGCCAAGTTCATGCTTGATGTGTGGATAGGAACTGTAGCCATGACCTAATCTGTTATACCCCTAATCAACTTCGTTCATCTTAATATAAGGCTCTTTTTTCCTGTTGGTTTTGGCTTTTTAATTCTCACTAGTCTCTATGGATTTCTGTAGACTTTCCCTAAACCTGTATCCAATAACTTTTGTACTCTGTCCTTTGACCTTGTAATCCAGGATACTAAATATGGACTTGCAATACAGACAGTAACTCTTTGTTACTCATAACTTGAAAAATACTGAATGGTCACACCCATGACACTCTTGTCATTGGGGGCGGTGGAAATATTGGTTTACCTGCACATCAAAATTGGGTGAAAGAATTATGGAGAATGATGTGGACCACTTGTCTATGGATAAAAATAAACCTCTCAGGAATCATATCTATCTTTTATTATAATGAGTGAAGGAAACCAAAATAGTGTAATGAAATTTCTCTTTCTTAAGAAAAGACTTGTAAGTGGAGATTGATCTTTACAGATGTGGATAGAGTTGCTTGCTGTAAGGTTAGAGTGACCACTGTCCAAATCCAGCCATGGCTACTGCATGTTCAGAGACCATTTGAACAGCAGTTTAAGTGACTTTCAGAGATACTGCCCCGGATATTCTCGGTAACCCCTGCTCTCAGGACAGGGATTCAGAGTTGAAGCAGCCTAATGTCTAACATCAGTCATGACATAATACAACCAGACCCTTCCTTTGATCCCATCACATATCAATAAAAATGTTAACACTTTAGAAAATTTTACGAAAAGTTCAGGTAGCACTGATTAATTTAGTTAAACAAAATGTGTTTGTCATAACATCTTTATTGCCTTTATTTCTTTCAGAAAGCACGCATATACACACACAATATTCCTATTAACATGTAACCTCCCTGCAGACAGGTTTATTTTCTATGTTATTTTTCCATGCTTGCAACTTCCTGGTGTTTATTGGATTTAATTTTTGGCACCAAAGTGAACACCATTTAATTTAATTGTTCATGAAGTTTTTGTAGATGTTTGAGTAGTGAAATATAGTGAAATATTATCAAATATAGTAGTCAGACATATGCTAGGAGCATGGTCATGGATGTAGCCTGATCTCTGACCTTGAGAAATTTGCAGACAAGAAGAAACATTTGCCATCTGTATGATTCTCTCATGTCATGTTTACCTGTGGGTACTCTGCTTGAGACAAAGCAAGAAAGGTGATTTATAGTTCTTTCTCATGATATGCTGTAGTGTCTTTAAAGGTTCCTCAAGATAATTTGTAGGACAAAAAGACTGCTTCCTACAGCAACACTCCTGTCGCTTTCTGGGAGGCTCTTGCAGTCATGTAGAAGCAGATGCTCCAGCTTTCATGTCTAGTACACCCTCTCTATAGAGTTAAGAGGAATCAACCAAGTCCACCTTATTTTAAGTTAAAGGCTGTGCTTTCTCCACCACCACAGAATCATTTTAGTCAGACCAATTGCCTGTCAAGTAGAATGACTCAGATTGACTGATTTGAACTGAAATTATGGTCTATAATAGTTTTCCTGCTTCATGTGCAGAAACAGCCTCCAGCTGGGTCTAGTTGAGCCAGACTAAACTGTATTTGATTTATTGGCTTTGCTGCAATTGGTCTGTGTCACAGTATGGCAGAGACCCAGAACTGTGAACTTTTTGTTCTCATAACACAAATGAATTATAATACATTAAGTAGTCTGAATATGTCTCATTTTTATTTGCTGTGGTTATTTGCAATCATGATACTACTGCTACATACACATACTCTTACCATAAAATTTTAACATTAACATACTTTGAATCACAGTATCACTGTTGGAGTATGATTTATCTAAAGTTTATTTTCTAATTAGTTTATAATATTTATATATTATATAATAATATATGTAAGTAACATATAGTATATGGTGTGATTTTATGTGCCATACAGTACATTATGTTATTTTCAATTAGCTTTAAGATTTCAAAGTTTATCTCCTAAAACTAGGAAGTAGAACCATTAACCCCATTAGTAGCAGGTGCCGTGTTGGAAGGATTAAGTAACATGTCTAATGTCTAATAGTAGCTGGGATGTGAGCTGAATTAGTCGATGTTCACAATGAGTGCTATTTATTCATTCATCTTACTGGCTCTTATTTTCTTCCATCCTATATCTCTTTCTTCTTTCCTATTTTCTTTTCTTCTTCAAAAAACATTTCCTAAGTGCCTATTCTTTTTATATGTACTAAATATTTGTATATAAGAATATATATCTTTTTAATATATGTAATGTTTATATAGCTAACACTGTGTTTCAGCTTTTGAAAGCTACATAGACAAATGAGGAAAATAATTATGTAGCTAAAACTAACAACCAAATATGGTAAAATCGCATAGAAACATTCTAGTGCAATATTCTAATATGAATAACAAGGTATTAAGTTATTAGAATAATATAATCTCCACGAATTTGTGTTTAATATCAGTTCTCCTTAACACTCTAACTGTAGAATAAAAGCAGTACGCTTCTCAGCTACTAAAAAAATGCTTATTTGAATCATTAAAAGCAATTTCATAAGGGATGTAGCATTTGCAAATATGAACAGAAATGATCTTCGCAACAATTATCCACTCTATGTCCTTAATGGCAGCCTGGATCTGCACTGAGGTTGAATAATTTGCTGCAGCCAGATGGTGAGCAAGCCAGGACCTAAAGCCTGTCCTCTGGTGCTAAGTCCAGGCCCCCAACCACTATATGTTTCTGTAGACTGTTGTCTACTCCCAGCCACACTCTCCGAAAACTCAACAAACTCTTCTGTCCCTTTATAACGTATCGGTTTTTCACCAGAGGAAGGAAATTCATTATTGATGCCCAAAATACACACAGAATTTCCTCTCACAAAGGAGACACCCCTATTGACCACTGTAATTAGTTCTTCCAATTTTCAATTTAAAACTAATTGCTTACATTAACCCCCCCTCCCATGTTTTTGTTGATCCTGTATTAGCGGGAATTTTATTAGAAAACGTCATTTTGAATGATAGAGTATATGGGATTTTTAAAAAAAATACTGATCATACACAATAGTGAGAGCTGGTAAAACACCATGTGTAGCTGTTGTTTTTGCACTTGTCTTAGAAACAAAGTCATCAGATAAACAAAAAGGAAAGAAAGACTTGGAGTTAACAGGAACTGTGGTATCATCAGGGACAAGCTATAGCCAGCATGACTTATTACAAGCCTCCAATTTTGTTGATGAGAGTTACCTAAAACAAAAGTTATGTTCATCATGGAATTCAACAATTATCATGTGAGGGATTAGAGAAACATCAAGAGATCCAATGGGAAATTGTTAACCAATGGGATTGATCGCTAGTTCATACAAGCCAGGTGAGTTAGTATGTTAGCATGTTTGCCAACAGGGACAAGCACCAGCACACATCTTGTTGTTGTGGAGGAATAGCTTAATAAGAACTGAGGCTACAGGAAAAAAATGAAGAAAAGGGGCCTGGTGCGATGGCACAGTGGTTAAGGTCCTCGCCTTGCACGCCCGGGATCCCATATGGGCATGGGTTCTATCCCTGCAGTCCCACTTCCCTTCCAGCTCCCTGCCTGTGGCCCGGGAAAGCAGTCGAGGACGGCCCAAAGCTTTGGGACCCTGCACCCGCGTGGGAGACCCAGAAGAGTCTCCTGGCTTCGGATTGGCATAGCATCGGCCGTTGCGCTCACTTGGGGAGTGAATCATTGGACGGAAGATCTTCCTCTCTGTCTCTCCTCTCTGTATATATCTGCCTTTCCAATAAGGAAATCTTTTTAAAAAAATGAAGAAAAGGATTGCTAGATAACAATGAAAATCTTCAAAAAGGAATTGAGAAACATAACAATTACGTGTATCAATGTGATAGCACCACTTTTAAAATGAATAATTACAGTTAAACTCAAGCTCATAAAAATTTGTTAAGATAACTTAGAACACCAAGTCTTGACCCCCCATGTAACAGTCTGCTCAGTCATCCTAGTAAATTCCATGGCTGTAGATCAGGGTCAGTTCAAAAAGGAAAGAAATTAAGAAAGTAACAAAAATGTTCAGCTTGTTCATTTCCTTTAACCTGGTTATGTCCTCTACCAGATGTGTCTGTTACTTCAGTGCTGCATCTAGAAGTATTCTTATAAGATGAACATTTATGAGGATCTTGTTTCCCCCTTGAACATCTGTAACTTAATCACTTAAATATGCAGCTATTTACTCCTGACCTTTCTATTAGATTATAGAAGAGATGAACAGGTGATTAACACAAAGGGACTTGCACAAATTCATGCAAAAGTATCGCTAAAAGATGAGCTTATTTGCTATTAAATATTTTTAAATCCATGCAAAGTTTATAATGGATGTTTAGAATTAATATAGCATTCATCTTGGCTAGTCCCTTGGATGCATGGGTTTTTAGAATATTTAGTCTATTAATTCCATTTCCCACTTTTAAAAAAAATAAACCACATGTATGCACAAATATATTATGAATTGGAGCTGTATACATACTCTTTACTGTGCAATGGCAGCTTAATTTCTCCTGATTAATCAGAATTAGTAACCCTTGGAATTACAATTGCATCTTATTTTTAAACTTGTTGGTTCATAGTTTAAGAGGCTCAGTGTGTCTAATGATTAGAAGTTTTATTCCCCTCAGCAATGCCTCAATACTACTCACAGTGCACATGTGGATTTTGGAGCAAACCTATAGCTTTCCTGGCAGATCATTATCATCTTTTTTTAAATTACATTTGATTTTATGACACAGTTTCATAGGCTCTGGGATTCTCCCAACCCCTCTTGTACCCTCCCCCCCATGGTGGATTCCTCCAACTTGTTGCATAACCACAGTTCAAATTCAGTTGAGACTCATTGCAAGCCTCTACTTTGCATACTGCCCAGCATCTCATTGTCCAGATAAATTCAACAGTTTCTTAGGGAGATCATCTGTGGTCTAAAGGCAGAGCTGGCAGAATATCACCCCGACCCATTAAAAGTCACAACATAACATCTCATTATCGTCTTTTAAAAATTGCTGTCTGACTGTGCTACTGATCCTTACAGCTAACTAACATTTCAGCTGTGGGCCATCAAATTTCCATATGATCAGAGTTGTGTTATTTTGTGAGAGCACAGGAAGATCCGACATCAAATTGGAAAGGTAGATATGAGATTGAGCTCAATCAGTATGTGAAGGTACAAAACGTAATTGGTCCAAGAGTTTGTGACTCATTTTCCTTCCATGTGGCTCTTCTCTCTTAAATTGTATTCCAGGCCTCATGGAGAGTTGAGGAGAAAAGTGAGACAGAAAAATCCTGATAGTTCTGTATAATGTATTTGCATTACCAAAGATGATGGCTGTGATATTACATGCATTGTCTGGCATATTCCTGAAAAACTATAGTGAAACAATGCAGTTACTGATCAGAAAGTTGAACAATATACTGAGTTACTCATTTTTCCTATAATCAGAGTTGAACAATGATCTGGATCTGTAGTATCTAATCATGTAGTATCTAATCATTTGGTTGGATAAGTAGGGACTCCAAACTATTAGTTCTAAAAGGTCTTGAGGAAGAAATATGTGGACAGATTTCCTGCATTGACACAAATTTTGAATATATTTGTGTAAAATGGCAAAGCTCACCAAAAAATTCACACCACAGAAAAATTTTAGTAACCAGACATGATAACCATTCAATAGACATTCGACAGCCTCTTCCCCAAGCCAAGAGGTTCATGAACAAAGTGGCAAGGATGGGAGAAAACAGGGTTTTCTATCTGTTACAGTCACTGCTGCAGTGGCTGCACACACTTCAGGCTCTAATCTGCCAAGAGACATGTTGATATAATATGGCATTTCAGGGGTTCATCCATCTTCCAAGTAGAAATTTGATTACACAGGCTTTGTTTCCATGGGAATCAACAGATTCTCAACAATGAGTTGCCATCCCTGCCTGCAATGCTTCGGCAAAGCCTCCAGCTGTATTTGTCACAGCTTTGCTTCAAATGAAACGTAGTAATTGCCTCCTGTACCTGGAATTCCTATTTACTCTTCTTTCACATTTCTTGTCACATTGAAGCAGCTGACCTGATAGAATGACAAGCATGGCCTTTTCAAGTCTCAGTCACAGAGGCAGCTTGGTGACAACCTGTTGAGGGCCTTGAGTCATATCCTTCAGGATCTACTTTAAATCAGCAATAAGGAAATTTACCAGCTGCTTCTTTCATGGGCAGGATACATAGGTCTTGGAATCATGGATGCAAATGTAAATGGCTCTTTTAAAAATATTCCAGTTGATCTAGCAAAAAAAATTTGCTTCTTATTCCTAAAGCTTCAGACTTTTACAGTTCATTATCTAATTAGCGTAGAAGTTTATACACAATGCCTTGGGTATTTGCTATTATTATCTGATCCCATCCACTAAACATCACATAGCCTGAAAAGAAAGGCGCATTATGGTATCCTTCTGGGTGTAGGGATGTTAAAACTCTCAGCCAACTAGATTATGACATCAGGCTGGAGAATTGATGTAGACCTATGGCTTTTGTTTCCTTGCTTGTTTGTTTTTACTATTTCAGCTGTTTTAATGACTTCTACTTGGCTTTTGCTAACACAATAGTGAAAAGGGGGAGAATTCAGCCAGCTGCTATGCTTACTTTTTTCGATCGCGCATTCTGGAATTTGGAAAATTATTCACAGTGCAAGTTTGGAGATTCGCTCGTACCCTGTGGCCCCAGTGCCTATAGATCTCCCTTAACTCTCGTTAATACTATTATATTACAGTGACGTTTTGATCTCCTCAAATTAGTTTGTTTAGAAATAGTGCCTAGCAATCTTTCAAAAATTGGATTATTGCTTCTTCTGAATACAAAATTACAGTGATAAAGAATGATGCACACCTCTGTGTAGAAGATTGGAAGACACATCTTACAAATGTTCATTTATAGAATAGGTTCTTCCTCAAGGATACTTGACATTCCCTTCCTACAGGGGCATTTGGGTTTTTGAATCTGAATATATCTGAAATTTTCTTGAAATATGGAGCCATTCAACTATAATGATTTCAACAAGGCCTCTGTTTACTAGAGTTAGAGTTTTCAGTATATACAAACGAAATAAGCTGTTAATATGATGCTCAACTATTTCAGTTGTAAGTTTATTGTTATCAACTAACCATTAGACCATTTTTATTCCTGCTCTGTCTTATCTACTATTAAACTGGGCAGCTTTGGGATTTTGTTAGCTATTGCAGGTCAGATAATAAACAAAAAAAGGAGACAGAAAAGATAGACATGTGGTTGAGTAGCAAGGACAGACTAAATGAACAAGAATGAGCTGACACATACACCTGTCTCTCACTGCCATCAATCAACACTGAAACTTCAGTGATCCACCGGTAGCCAGTAAGAGATGGTAGTGCTCAGCGCTAGAATAGACGTAACACAAGTTTGAAATTTTGACTACCGCCCCATTTGCTATAAAGACTACAAAAGGATTTGTTGGGAATGTAAGTCCCTGTTGTAATGTTCAACGGGGACTGAAAAAGCTGTAGGTCTGCCTATAATAGCCTCCAGTGCCCAGCACTGACCTAAGTGTAAGAATATGACTGCTGTCCCACTTCTGCCTTGCAAATGTCAAGCAAAAATGGCTCTTGTGGTTCACACTAAAAGAAAGATATGCAAGTGTTAAAGCAAAACTTATATCAGACAATTTTAAAGAGCCAGGAAGGTTTTACCCAAGGTACTAATAGAAGACAGGAATCTGTGGGACTAGCACTGTGGCAAGCAAGTTAAGATGTTTCCTGAGATGCTAGTACACCATATAGTGATAGTTGGTATCCTAGCTGTTTCACTTCTGATCCAGTTCCTTATTAATGACCTGGAAAAGCAGCTGAAGATGGCTAAAATTCTTGGGCTCCTGCACACGTGGAAACCTTGATGAAATTCCTGGCTGCTGGTCCAAGCCTTACCATTGCAGTCATCTGAAGAGTGAACCAGTGGTGGGAGATCTCTTTTTCCTTCTCTGTCTCTCTCAATCTCTCTCTGTAACTCTATCTTCCCAAGAACTAAATTTTTTAAGGAAAGGGAGACAGAAATCTGATTTCATAATAAGTCTTTAAGACTGGGGAGTATAATTTTGGCCATTTGTGTTTGCTAATTATCCTTACCCAAAGGAAAAAATGCTTTCTCTTATCTTCATTAATGAAAGTAGCTTAATAGCTTGGAGAAAAGTTTCCACTGGTTAGACGACTACACTTCTAAGTGACTGAAAGACATGGGCTTTATCTGTCCTTGACACATTTGTTTTAATTATCATTTTATTTTTATAAGGTAGATACACTCCATGTATTTCACATTACAGATTTAGCATTGGTGATACTTGCCTCCCTCTACCCATCTACCCATCCATTTATTCTCTTTCTTCGTTTCTGATCAGTTTCTAAGAATTTTTAAAAATGGAATGCTTTTGGGCCCGGCGCGGTGGCGCAAGTGGTTAAAGTCCTCACCTTGCACCCCCGGGATCCCATATGGGCGCCGGTTCTAATCCCGGCAGCCCCGCTTCCCTTCCAGCTCCCTGCCTGTGGCCTGGGAAAGCAGTCGAGGACAGCCCAAAGCTTTGGGACCCTGCACCCGCGTGGGAGACCCGGAAGAGGCTCCTGGCTTCGGATCGGCATAGTATCGGCCCGTTGCGCTCACTTGGGGAGTGAATCATCGGATGGAAGATCTTCCTCTCTGTCTCTCCTCTCTCTGTATATCCGCCTTTCCAATGAAAAAATAATAAAAATAAATCTTTAAAAAAAAAAAATGGAATGCTTTCAGTTTACTTCACAATCACAGGCTTAACATGGCATTGGGTAAATTCAATGAACAGCAAACAGAAAAAAACCACACTGTTTCTCAAATGTACAAAGATGTAAATAATAATAGAATCTTGAATGCCAATGCCAATATCACTCACATAGATTGCATTTGTAGTTGTTATTGATCTTTTTGAAAGGAAAGTTTTCCAATCCATGAAAAAGTAAGTCTTATAAAGAGACTTCTAAAAATATTTGCTATCAGAAAGGCAGGAAAAGGATGCTTAATTTAATGATCAGTTGTAGAAAATTAATGCTCAGAGAGACAAGTGCCAGAGTTAGGAAGAGTGACTGAAGTTTAATCAAGCTGATGAGCAGTACTGGTCAGGGGAAAGAATTCCAGAAAAGTTAGTTTGATTTGGCTAAGTTGGTAAATACAAATCTAGCACTGTTTGGTTTGTTGCTTCATTTTGTATTTGTTTTGTCAAGAAATTTCAGCTCTGGGCCAGTGTTGTGGCATAGTGTATAAAGCCTCCACATTTGACACCTGTGTCCTACACAGGAGCTTGCTTGAGACCCTGCTGTTTCATTTAAAATACAGTTCCATGCCTATGAGCTACAGAGGATGGCTTACCTCCTTGGGCCCCTGTATCCACATGGGAAATCTGGAAGAAACTCACGGTTCCTGGATTTGCCCTGGCACAGCAATGGTCAGGTTCTGACTGTTGCAGTCATTTGAAAAGTAAGCCAACAGATGGGAGATTCTCTCTCTCGCTCTCTCTCTCTCCCTCTCCCTCTCCTTCTCTCTTTCTTTCTCTCTGTGTCTTCTGTTTAAATCTGACTTTCAAAATCAAAAATAAATAAATGGTAAAAGAAAAACAAACATTCCAAACTGGAAACGAGATAAAAGAATGACTGTATGAGATTTTTTTTTTTTTTACTTTAAAATGCTGTCTTATTTCACTGGTTATTTCCAAAATATAAGTATATAGAAAACAATATGATAAGCTTACTCATTTTTGATCACTTGTTACCTACTTGGTGATATAAGGCCTATTGTTCTGCATTAATTTTTTAAAAGAAGAATAAAAATTAATTTGGGAGGGTGGGATGGGCAAACCTGTCACTTTCCTCCTTGCCCTTTGCAACTATGATTTTTAGTTGTCTTTATAATGACAAAGATAAAAAAAATGCATTTCCACATCATCTGATTCCGTTTCTATCCTTAATGCACTTCCATTCAGGAAGATGACAGGGAGAGAATCACAATACAGGGTCTTTGTGAGTTATACATTCATCTTGGGACCTCTTCCTTCACTGATGGTGTGAAGGAGAAACACATTTAGTAGGAATCACACCTGGAGTTTGGAAAGTGATCTTTTCCTCAGCTAGCAGGGCAGTGGCAGTGAGCCTCAGCTCCCAGTCATCATGTGCGCCAGTGAAAAATCACAGCATGCTGTGTGGTTGAACTATTCGGTTCAATGGGTTGGATGTAATAAATGCATTATGAACTTCGTGATATTTTTGCCAAATGGAGTTTCTCCTGTTCTAACACAGCATAAAGGGAGAAGCATCTGCAGTCAGAGACTGAGACATTGCTTGATGTTTTGCAGAATTTTTCATTTAGTTACTTTAAAGTTATGGTGGACTTTCTGGAAACATCTGCTGCACAATAACGCATTAGGTCTTATAGAGATTTTTAAAAAAGATTTATTTTATTTTTAATGGAAAGTCAGATTCACAGAGAAAAAGAAGAGAAAGAGAGGAAGATCTTCCATCCACTGATTCACTCCAGAAGTAGCTGAAACGCACAGAGCTGAGCTGAGCTGATTTGAAACCAGGAGATAGGAGCTTCCTCCAGGTCTCCCACATGAGTTCAAGGCTTTGGGCTGTCTACTGCTGCTTTCCCAGGATACAAGTAGAGAGTTGGATGGGAAGCATAACAGCTGGGACACAAACTGGTGCCCATACAGGAGCCCTGTGCGTGCAAAATGAGGATTTAATCACTGTGCTACTGTGCCAGGCCTCCTTTAAGTATTTTTGATACAGTTCATTAGTGGGGTGATTCCTTCCTTGCACTCATAATTAATCGAAATGGAGGCTAGCAGATTGTTGTGGGAACTGATCATTGTAAGGAATCATTTTTCCTTCTCAAGCACCAGGCTAGCATGCTGATACAGGCTACTGGGAAACCATTTTCAGTCACATTGGCTCATCTGACACATGCAGGAGAGGGAAACTGCACTCCCTGAACGCCTCATTACTGTCACATCCCCGGATGGCAGAGTGTGCCTGCCGTGTCAATGCAGTGCATTGGTATCATAAGCTTAAAGTCTGATTTTTACCTGCACATGACAGATTTCCTCATGAGGAATTTTCTTTCCATTATCAAGACTTCTATTTTCAGAAAGTATTAAAACATGATTCCTGTGAGCAGGAGATACTCATGAAACATATATTTTTAAGACTACAACCCTGACTCAATAGTTATCATCTTGGGCCCAGTGCAGTAGCCTAGTGGCTAAAGTCCTCACCTTGCATGTGCTGGGATCTTATATAGGCACCTATTCTGTAATCCCAGTGGCCCTGCTTCCCATCCAGCTCCCTGCTTGTGGCCTGGGCAAGTAGTCGACAATGGCCCAAAGCCTTGGGACTCTGCACCCCTGTGGGAAACTAGGAAGAAATTCCTGGCTCTTGGCTCGGTGCAGCTCTGGCTGTTGCAGCCGCTTGGGGAGTGAATCAGCTGATGGAAGATCTTCCTCTCTGCATATCTTAATTTCCAATAAAAATAAATAAATCTGAAAAAAATTATCTTCTCTGTATAACACTCAGTAGTATCGAAGGCTTGGAAAGTTCTATCTAAGGTAAGCTTGGATACATTTCCGCTCCCAGAACCTCTTGAGGGAGTCTGTCCAACACTTCCTGGATGTTGGAGCAGAGTAGAGGACAGCCAGCACAGATGCTTTGGACAAGTGTCACAAAGGCGGGTACCACGTAGTGGACTCCGACTTGGATTTTACTGCTCCGGGGGGCTTTAGTGGCCTCTTCTTCCTGACTGAAACCTTAAAGCGCAGAAACACTAACTCTGCCAGTACACATGATGCTTTTAGCGTAAAACCAAGGGAGTTGTTCAGAGAAGGTGGATATTACAAAAAAGAAAACATATGCATTGCAATACTGTATACATCAAAATGAGAGACACTATCTGTTTGCTCAAGCGACCTAGCTAGACAAACTTCTCCATTGTGTGCTCTGTTGTCACTAAGAATGCCATCCCCTTCAGAGTAAAGACTATTTTCCTTTTCCTGTTTTCAAGAATAGCATCATTTTTCTTCTTGGCTTGTCTTTATACCATCTTTTCATTTGCTGTAATGATGTTTTAGCTTTTCCATGAACTATGTTAAATTCCTGTTGCTTCTGG